ATAACTGAGAAATAGAGAGAATTTATATATTAGCATTATTTGAATTTCTAGATTCAGTCATATTACCTGAAACTAGATATATCCTTGTATTATTTTGTTACATGAGCCAATAAATTTCCTCTTGGGTAAAGTTAATTTAGATTAAGTTTCTTTTTTTTTTTTTTTTTTTTTGAGACAGAGTCTCACTTTGTTGCCCAGGCTAGAGTGAGTGCCGTGGCGTCAGCCTGGCTCACAGCAACCTCAATCTCCAGGGCTCAGCGATCCTACTGCCTCAGCCTCCCGAGTAGCTGGGACTACAGGCATGCGCCACCATGCCCGGCTAATTTTTTGTATATATATATATTTTTAGTTGGTCAATTAATTTATTTCTATTTTTGGTAGAGACAGGGTCTCGCTCAGGCTGGTTTCGAACTCCTGACCTTGAGCAATCCGCCTGCCTCGGCCTCCCAAAGTGCTAGGATTACAGGTGTGAGCCACCATGCCCGGCCAAGATTAAGTTTCTTAATAGTTGCAAATATTAATCCTAACTGAAATACAAGTCATGTGGGTATGGAGAATTTTTTCTGTTAGTAAACAGGTATCCTGAAGCCTGCAGCAGGTTGGCCTGGTGTATACTGAGAAACGAAAGACAGGCAGGTCATTCAGGCTCAGAGTAAGCCAGGTTGAGTTTGGCACATTGCTTGATCAATTTCTAAGTGCCATTTCTTACAAATTTTGTTGCTGTGGATAAGGTGAAAGTTTAAAAGGACTTAGGTAGAAAAACATTCAGTTCTTGAAAAGGTGGAATAATCACATACCTCCATTTCTCTCCTATTGAACTCAACTGTAAAATGTGGACAGAATGCATGGACAACTATTCGAGAACTTTGAAAAGTAAACACCAGAAGACATACCATGGAAGAATACCAGAATTTGAAGTATCAATGAACCAGCAACATGGTTTTTTCCTCTGGTATCCCTGGTTTCAACTCAAAGCAACCCAAATCCCAAAAGTCACAGTAGTGCCAAGAAAGATTCAGGAGAAACTTGGCTCAAGGAGAATGAAAGATAATACCTAAAGTTCAGGGGTGGGAGAATATTCTATTTCTTCTCTCTTTTTCCTCCATTCTTGTGTGATCCAGACTCCAGATAATACTATGACAGTGATATAGCCTGGCACCAGAGGCATGCATAAACCAAAACTCAGAGAAGAGAATATTCCTCTCAATTGGATGGATTTGTGGCTCCATGAGGGCAGGACAAAATCCCATTGCTTTTTCCCCTTTCTTTATCTTCCTTTTGCTTGACACCTGGACAGGTGTAATCATGGAAGTGGGCAATTTGGGGCTGGAAGACTAGAAAGGAAAGACTTGAGAACTGAAAAATAACACAGAGGGAGGAACTTGGGGAAATGATCCTCAAAAGCTGTTGATGAAATCCTGAGCTGAACCTAACTCATTCATGCATGGATTTGTTCTTTCTTTTTCTTTTTTTTTTTTAATACTTTTTAAATTTCAGAATATTACAGGGGTATAAATGTTAGGTTATGTATATTGCCCTTGCCCCACCCAAGTCAGAACTTCAAGCCTCTCCATCCTCCAGAGGGTGCACACCACACCAATTAGGTGTGAATATATCCATCTCCTCTCCCCCTCCCATCTTCCCAACACATGATAAGTGTTATTACTATGTATTAATTTAAGTGTTGGTCAGTTAAAACCATTTGATGGTGAGTACATGTAGTGTTTGTTTTTCCATTCTTGGGATACTTCACTTAGTAGAATGGGTTCCAGCTCTATCCAGGGTAATACAAGAGATACTATATCACCATTGTCTTATCCCCAGTGAGAATGGCCTTTATCAAAAAGTCCCAAAGCAATAAATGTTGGCTAGATGCGGAGAGATAGGAACACTCCTACACTGCTGGTGGGACTGCAAACTAGTACAACCTCTGTGGAAAGTAATATGGAGATACCTTGAAGAGATACAAGTAGAACTACCATTTGATCCAACAATCCCATTACTGGGTATCTACCCAAAAGAACAAAAGTCATTCTATAAAAAAGACATCTGCACTCGAATGTTTATAGAAGTACAATTCACATTTGCAAAGATGTGGAAACAACCAAAGTGCCCATCAATACATAAGTGGATTAATAAAATGTGGTATATGTATACCATGGAGTTCTAGTCAGTTATGCATGGATTTGATACTAACTAATATATCAAAGACTTTGAGAACTGAGCTAACAAATAGATCTTCACCCAGACCATAGGCTGACCACTGGATGGCACAAATGCTAAACAGACTCAAATAGTACTGCAAAAATTTTGAAAAGTAAACTTACATTGGAATCTACAACCCATGGAAGACTAAAACAAAAATATCAATATTTTTCTAGGATTTAAACATGACTGAGGGTCTCCAAATGTAATATTCAAAATGTCCAGGATATAAACCAAAACTACTTTACACACAAAGATGCATGAAAATCTCAACTTGCATGGGAAAAAACAACAGATACCACCATGAGATAACAGATATATTATTAATAGAATTTCTGACAAGGACTTTAAATCAGATAATAAAAATTCTCTAATGAGCAATTGGGAACACTCTTGAGACAAATACTAGAAATTATCAACAAAGAAATAAAAAAAGAGCCCAATAGAAATTTTAGAACTGAAACAATCCATGAAATAAAAAAAAAATTACTAGATAGACTCAGTGGAAAAATAGAGAAGGCAGAAGAAAAAGTCAGTGAACTTGAATATAGATCATTTGATATTATCCAATCTGAACACAGAGAAAAAGATTGAAAAAATGAAGAGAGACCCAGAGAACTATGGGATAATAACAAAACTTCTATAATTCACATGATTGGAATCCAAGAAAGAGATGAGAAAGAATGCTGAGTTGAAAAAAATATTAGGAGAAATAATGTCTGAAAATTTCTCAAGTTTGGCAGAGACATAAATCTACAGATTCAGGAAGAGGAGCCAACCCCATCCAGGATAAACTCTGGATACATCATAATGAAATTACTGAAAACTAGTGAGAAAGGAAAAGTCTTGAAATCAGCCATAGAAAAATAACGTATTCTATAGGGGAAAAGAGATTTCTCATTCAAAACTACAGGGTCCAGAAGGAAGTACACATTTTTCAAGTGCTGAAAGACTATCAACCAAGAATTCTAAACCCAGTGAAAATATCCTGAATAAAGGTGAAATAAATACATTTTCAGATGAAGAAAAACTAAAAAAATTCAAGACTAACAGATCTGCTTTAAAATAATTGCTAAAAGTTCTTCAGATAGAAGGGAATGATACCAGAAGAAAATCTGGATCATCAAGAATGAACAAAAGCAACAGAAATGATAAATCTCTGGATATTATATATATATATTTTTTAATAGAATTTTCTCCTAAGTTTCTTATAAAATGTTTGGTGGTTGAAAGCAAAAAATATAACAATTTCTGATAGTGTTTTCAATATATGTAGATGTAATATATAAGACAACTATAGCATATAGATGTGAAAGGTAAAGAGACCTATATGCTGGCAAGGTTTCTGCATTCCAAATGAATTGGCGAAATATTGATTCTAAAGAGATTGTATACATTTGGTAGTCTCTAGACCAACCACTAAATTATTGTACAAGGAGTAAGACTGAAAATCACTAATAAATATATTTTAATGGAATACTAAAAAATGTTTAAAGATAAACAAAAATAAAACAGTAAACCTAAATACAAATACATCAATAAGTACATTAAATGTAAATGATCTAAACACATCAATCAAAATACAGAGATTGTGTCAGATTGGATAAGAGAAAGCATGACACAAACATAAACTGTACCCTAAAAATTAAACAACTCATATGTTCTTCAATGGGTGAATTTGTAATTGTTGAAACATCCATACAATGGAATATTACTCAACAATATAAAAGAACAACCTATTTCTACCTGAAAAAAACTTGGCTGATTCCCAAAGGCATAATGTTGAGCAAAAGAAGCTACACTCAAAAGATCATATATCAATTCTATTTATATGGCAGTCTATAAAGACAAATTGTTGAGATGGAGAACAGATAAGGGTTTGCCAAGAGTTTGGGGTAAGGGGAAGATATAACCATAAAGGGATAGGAATAAGAAGATTTTTGGAGTAATGGATCTGTACTAAATCATGATAATGGTGGTGGTTATGTGTGTGTAAATCTATGTGGTGGTGAATCTATGTATGTGTAAAATTTTACACTGAAAGAAAAAAAGTCAGTTTCGGTGTGTGACAAATTTAAAAATATATTTTAAAAATACAACCAATCACAATAAGTGAATCTTATTTGGATGCTGATTTAAAAAGAAAATATATAAAATGTTTTTGACATTCAGGAGACAGTTGGAAATTTGAACACTATATATTTAATGATATTGAGGAATTATTAATATTTCTAGGTATATTTATAATTTTTAAGTCATTTATAAATATATTAAAAATGCTGACATTTTTATTGATAAATTTGAAAACAAAAGTACTTCGGAGAAATGTCACTAGTAACAAAGTGTAGAGTCCCCTCCCCAGCTCAGAGATTAGCAGAAAGCCTGTGGGAGCAACCAGGGCATTGTTCCCAACATTCAGTGGAAGCCTCCCTGCCCCTCACTCTGATCCTGCTGACTTTGATCAGGCACAGAATTCTAATTATCGAGTATTGGCTTTCCCCGGTGGAGAAACTGGGTGGTGGGGGAAGGCTTCACTTGATGCCAGGAAACAGACTGGGGACAGCCAGAGGTGGAATGCCAGGGAGGCAAAAGAAAACCCAAATCACCCCCAACCCCTCAAGCCTCAGCCACAGGCTCAGGTGGCCACCCTGGTGATGACCTCCATAGTAGGGCAAGGAAGGGTCCTACACTCACTGGCAAAGAGTTGCTGGATGTGAGGAAAGCCACTGCCAGGCCCACACAGGAGGATGCTGACTATGATCCAGGTGAGACCCACAGTGACGACTAGGGCCACAATGTGGAAGGGGCCTAGAGGCAGGACAGACACGGGTCAAGTCCACCCCAGACACCAGGTAACTTTGGAATGAATCCATAGCCTGTGATGACCAGGTCTCCCCTTCCACTTGGGAAGAAGTGACTGGAGGTCAGGAAGGTGGGGACCTGTAGCCATCCACCAGGCCTGAGAGGGAGACTCAAGCTCCCAGGAAGATGGAAGGAGGAAACTGAGTTCAAAGCCAAAGATTGTCTGGTTTGGCTCTCCCTGGAAGGTTTATAGGAGACTTCCAGAACTCCCTGCTTGAGAGGGGGTCCAGGCCTTCCCCAGAAACCCCTTAAACTTCCTGCCTCTGAGACTACCAATATATTTGTACCCCCTATACACCTCTCCTTTCCTCCTGTTCTGATAGAAAGAGTCCCTACTCCATTTTTTTTTAATTATTTTTTTTATTTTGGTATATTATGGGGGTACAGATTTTAAGGTTTCAATAAATGCCCATTTCCCCCCCTCCCCCCAAAAGTCTGAGTCTCCATCATGACCATACCCCAGATGTGCCCGATCTCACTATGTATGAGTATATCCCTCCCCCTCCCCCTCCCACCTGCCAATACCCTATTACTGTAGCACCTATGTGTCCACTTAGGTGCTACTCAGTTAATACCAGTTGCTGAGAATATATGGTGCTTGTTTTTCCATCTTGGGATACTTCACTTAGTGTATGGGTTCCAGCTCTAACCAGGAAATATAAGGTGTGCTATATCACCATTGTCTTAGAGCTGAATAGTACTCCATGGTGTACATATACCACATTTATTAATCCATTTTTGATTGATGGAACTTGGCTGTTTCCACAGCCTTGCAATTATGAATTGTGCTGCTATAAACATTCGAGTGCAGGTGTCTTTTTTGTAGAGTGTCACTGGATCATTTGGGTAGATGCCCAGCAATGGGATTGCTGGATCAAATGGTAGATTCACTTGTATCGCTTTAAGGTATCTCCATATTGCTTTCCACAGAGGTTGAATTAGTTTGCAGTCCACCAGCAGTGTAGGAGTGTTCTCCTCTCTCCGCAACCACGCCAGCATTTATTGTTTGGAGATTTTTGATAAAGGCCATTCTCACTGGGTAAGTGATATCTCGTTGTTTTTGATTTGCATTTCCCTGATGATTAAGATGTTGAGCATTTCTTCATATGTTGTGGCCATTCTTCTGTCTTCTTTAGAAAATTTCTTCAAGTCCTTTGCCCACTTTTTAATGGGTTATTTGATTTTTTCTTCCTGATTTTCGTGAGTTCTAAGTATATTCTAGTTATCAGTCCCTTATCGGATGCATAGAGTGAAAAATTTTCTCCCATTATGTAGGTTGTCTGTTTACTTTCATGACTATTCTTTGGCTGTGCAGAAGCTTCGTAGTTTGATCATGTCCCAATTTATTTTTGTTGCTGCTGTGATTGCCTTTGGGGACTTCTTCATAAACTCTTTGCCCAGGCCGATGTCTAGGAGAGTGTTTCCAACTTTTTCCTCTAGAGTTCTAATAGTTTCATATCTTAGGTTTAAGTCTGTTATCCAGCGTGAGTTGGTTTTTGTGAGAGGTGAAAGGTGTGGGTCCTGTTTTAGCCTTCTACAGGTGGCTATCCAGTTTTCCCAGCACCATTTATTGAAGAGGGATTCTTTTCCCAGCGTATGTTTTGTCTGCTTTGTCAAAGATGAGATGGCTATATGAGGATGTTTTATATCAGGATTCTCACATCTGTTCCACTGGTCAATATTCCTGTTTTTGTGCCAAACTATATTGTTTTAATTACTACAACTTTGTAGTATAGTTTGATATCTGGCATATAATGCCTCCCATTTTGTTTTGTTGCCTAGAATTGCTCTTGATATTCGGGGTCTTCTTTGTTCCATACGAAGCGTAAATTATTTTTTCTATATCTGTGAAGAATGCTGATGGGATTTAATAGGTATTGCATTGAATCTGTAGATCAGTTTGGTAGTATAGACATTTTGATGATATTGAGTCTGCCGATCCACGAGCATGGTATGATTTCCATCTGTTTACATCCTCTGCTATTTCCTTCCTCAGTGTTCATAGTTCTCCCTGTAGAGGTCTTTTACCTATTTGGTTAATATATTCCTAGGTACTTTAATTTCTTTGTTGCTAAGTGAAGGGAATTGAGTCTTTGATTTGGTTCTCATTAGATTGTTGTTGGCGTATATGAATGCTCTGATTTCTGTGTATTATTTGTATCCTGAGACTTACTAAATTCATTGATCAGCTCCAGGAGTTCTTGGTGAATCATTGGGGTTTCTAGATACAATATCATATCATCAGCAAACAGTGAAAGTTTGATCTCTTCTGCCCCTATTTGGATACCTTTGATTCCATTTTCCTGTCTGATTGCTGTAGCCAAGACTTCCAGCACTATGTTGAACAGAAGTGGAGATAGTGGGCAGCCTTGTCTGGTTCCAGTCTAAGTGGGAATGATTCAATTTTTCCCATTCAGTATGATGTGGCTATGGATGTGTCATATATGGCTTGTATAATTTTAGGTATGTCCCTTCTATGCCTATTTTCTTAAGTGTTCGTATCATGAAAGGGTGTTGAATTTTGTCAAAAGCTTTTTCTGCATCTATTGAAAAGAATCATGTGGTCTTTGTTTTTGCTTCTGTTTATGTGGTGAATTGCATTTATAGATTTACGTATGTTGAACATCCCTGCATCCCTGGGATGAAGCCCACTGGTCGTGGTGGATTATTTTTTGATAAGTGTCTGGATTCGGTTAGCTAAGATTTGTTGAAAATTTTTGCATCTATATTCATTAGGGATATTGGTCTGTAGTTTTTTTTTTGTTGCATCCTTTCCTGGTTTTGGTATCAGAGTAATATTCGCTTCATAAAAGGTGTCGGAGAGGTTTCCGTTCTTCTCGATGTTGTGGAATAGTTTCTGCAAGATAGGTATAGTTTCTTGTAAGTAGGTAAATTCAGGTGTGAAGCCATCTGGACCGGACTTTTCTTTTAGGGAGATTTTTAATTGCTGTTTCTATTTCAGCTGTTGAGATTGGTCTGTTCAGGGAATCTATTTCTTCCTGGTTGAGCCTAGGGAGGCTGTGTGTTTCTAGAAATTTTTCCATTTCCTCCACATTTTCCAGTTTGTGTGCATAAAGATTTTTGTAGTATTCATAAATTATCTGTATCTCTTTGGATATATCTCCTTTTTTTCTGATGGAGCTTATAGAGATTTCTCTTTTCTGTTTTCGTTAGCTTAGCCAAGGCGTGTCAACTGTGTATTTTCAAAGAACAACGTAATCTCCGAATCGATTTGATCTGTTGATTCATTTCTCTGGTTGGTCTGTTCTGTTTTTCCAGCTTCTTGAGTCGTTTCATTTAGATTGCTATTTGTGATCTCTTGCCTTTGGTTATAGGCATTTATGGAGATAATCTTCCTCTCAGAACTGCTTTAGCGGTGTCCCAGAGGAGTTGATAACTTGTCTCTCCATGTGTTTTCTTCATAAATTTTTATTTCGTCTTGATCTTCAGACGAATACATTAGTAGGAGTTTTTTAATTTCCACGTTTTGGTGTAGAAATGTGAGTTTCTGTTAGGGTTGATTTCTAGTTTTATTCCACTGTGATCTGAGAAGGTACATGGTATGATTTCTTATTTTTAAATTTCTTGAGATTTTCTTTGTGTCCTAGATATGGTCAATCTTAGAGAATTCCCGTGAGCTGATGAGAAGAAAGTATATCAGTGGATTTTGGTAGAATGTTCTGTAGATGTCGTCAGACCCAATTGTTCTAGAGTTTGTTAAGTCCATTATTTCTTTATTAATTTCTGTTTGGAGGATCTGTCTTGTGCCGTCAGTGGGGTGTTGAAATCCCGGCGATTATGGAGTTGCTATAAATCATTTGCTTAGCTCCAGTAAGGTTTGCTTTATGAATCTGGTGCACCTAAGTGGTGCATATATATTTAAAATTGTTATCTTTTCTTGTTGGACTGTGCCCTTCACCATTATATAATGACCTCTTTGTCTTTTACTACTTTGTTGGTTTAAAAACTAAATCGTCTGAAATTAGAACTGCCACACCAGCCTCTTTTAGCTTCTATTTGCTTGGAAATATGATCTCCACCCTTTTATTTTTAGTCTATGTGCATCCTTGCAGGTTAAATGTGTTTCCTGAAGACAGCATATACTTGGCCTGTATTTTCTTATCCATTCAGCAGCCTATGTCTCTTGAGTGGAGAGTTTAAGCCATTCACATTTATTGAGAGAACTGATAGGTAAGGTAGATTACTGATCATTCTGTTGGGTTGGATGTTGTTGCTATGATTTCTGTCTTGAGCCATTGTAATATCTGCCTTTAATATCTTTGGGTTTTGGTGTTTTATATCCGTGGATTATTATTATGATGTTCCGTGCATAACGCTGTTTTAAGTACTTCTTGTAGGGCTGGTCTTGTCTTGGTGAATTCTCTGAGCCTTTGCTTGTCTGGAATGTTTTTATTTCTCCTTCATATATGAAGCTTAGTTTTGCAGGGAATAATATTCTAGGCTGGGTTTGTTTCAAAAGAGTGAGAATGGGCCCCAGTCTCTCCTTGCTTGTAAAGTCTCATTAGAGAAGTCTGATGTTATTCGAATTGGCTTTCCCTTGTATGTCACTTGCTTCTTTTGTCTTACAGCTCTTAGAAGGGCCTCTTTAGTTGATACTTGTCAGTCTGATGACTGCATGACGTGACGTCTTCCTGTTTGCATGAATCCCCAGGGTCCTCTGGGCTTCTTGAACTTGTATATCGAGATTTTGAGCAAGCCTGGGAAATTTTCCTCTATTATATTCTCAAAAAGCTTGTCCAGCCCTTGAGTGTTGTTTCTCCCCTTCGGCTAAACCTATGACCCTCACGTTAGGTTTTTCACATAATCCCACAGCTCTTGTAGGTTGGCTTTCTCTTGTTTCTCTGCTGTATTTTGTGACTGATTTATTTAATTGGAAGGTGTTATCTTCAAGCTCTGAGATTCTTTCTTCTGCTTGATCTACCCTGTTCTTGAGACTTTCCACAGTATTTTGTAGTTCTCTGAGTTGATT